AGGCTAGGCTAGGCTAGGCTAGGCTAGGCTAGGCAGGACAGGAGTACAAACAAGCATCTAAAATAATTAATTCCAAAGCAGGACAAAAAATTCCACAATATAACACCTTTCAATATTTCCAAACCAAGATAAAATAGCAACTATAGAGAAAGTGGGTGACGATAAAAAATGCAAAGCATGAACATGTTTGATGACTCAAAAGTTGATTCATTCAGAGAAGAAAAAGTCACAGGCTGGGGTGAAGAAACCCCAACATTTTAACCAATGTGCTGAACAGAGGCAGCAAGTCCTGGTACATCATTTACAGTCACTTCTCTGACTGAGAACACAGCTCAGAGTTCTCTTTCTAAACACATTCGTTCATTCTGCAACTCGCCCCATTTCTGTCTCCTTTTTACATAATGCTTGTGTTGCTCTTATGTAAGGCTGGCATACAGTTTAAGGTGTTCAGTGAAGAGAAATGGCACAGAACTAACTTGGCCAATTCCTGGAGGCCCTCCAGCAGACGCTGAGACGTCCCCAACTCGTCTGCTCCCAGTGACACCATGAGGAAGTGGAGGTCATTGAACAAGGTCACGTGGTCGTCGGTGTGAGGCTGGGTCACCTGCAGCAGCTCCCGCCAACGCTCCTTCACGCACACACCTGCAACACGCAGAAACACAAGCTCGTGTTTTCRGAGGTGGAGAGCTGGTTTCTCTCCGTGTTCAGATGTTTCATTAATTATCCTTATTTCTGGCATATAACGTTAAATGTTGAATTAATTAGTATAAAAACTAGACAATTTCATGTTCTTAGTTTTTTTATTTGTGATTGAGAAGATAAATTAGGTGCTATAGTTGTTTAATTCATCTGAAGAAATTGGGACTTTAATTATTTTCTGTAAAAAATAATAATAATAATTCAGAGCCTAAATTAAATTTCATTAATGAGATTGAATTTTGCTAAAATGCCCCCCATTTAAACTTCCAATAATTCCCCATCTTCTAATATTTCCTACCTTCCATTTCCAATCTGTAGAGCATTGAACAGGAATCCACAATGTCCAACATGGATCCTGAGGCTTTACACCGTTTAAATACCTTCAACAAAAACAACACATATTTTCACTTTAAAAACTGAGAGGACTAACATTAATGTCAAACTGTTTGTTGGTTGTGACAAGCTAGAAAATGGTTAAAAATATGTGGATTTAAACCAGCTCTGTGTAATAACTTTATTTTTCACATAGTGGTGGTTAGTGACCTTATTAAATGTTTTTTGGAAACTAAAAGAACATGAAATAGACTGTCTCACAGACCTATTTTTAGTGTAAAAAAATCGGCTTTGGCACATTGAAATGAGTGTGGGCGGTTCTTTGGCTTTCATATCTTTATAAGGCTTTAATTCCCATTTGCTCACATATCACCCTCCTGACTCACAACAAGCACGACGTGTTACTTTTACGCCTGCATCCCTTGTGTTTTGGCACATTTGTGACTTTCAAACAGGCTCAAATAGCCACATAAGGTTTTGTTTCAAACTCTGAACAGAAACCAACCTGAGAGTCGTAAATTTCCAGAGCGGCTTCGTACTGTCCCTGCAGAGAAGGTGGTGAAAACAACAAACTTGAATCGTTAGAAATGAGGGGTAAGCAAAGCTTAGCTTAGCAAAGCTTGTTACATATAGATACAAACTCTAATTAATCTTATAACATAATTACCATTGGGAAATAATAGATAAAAACGCCACAAACACTTCTAATGCTAGCAATTTGTTWGACTGAACACATTAATTAAAGTTATTACCCTCTCAATGAAGTACAGAGCCCAGTGCCAATAGTTGTGACTGGCCAGAATGTCAGATACCTGCAAATGATGTCACATATTTCAAACATCTTTTCCTGCAGCCAGTTTGATTTAAATGTAGTAGCTTTTGAACATCTATAGGGAGTCTGTGAAGAAAAACACAGTTAAGGAATAATAATGAGGACCTGCCAGTCTTTCTCTCTGCTCTCCATAAACTTCAAACCGTTGTCCACTTCTGCTCTCATCTCATAAACATGAGCTACAGAGTGGACGGACCACGCATCATCTGGAGTCAAGGCGAGGCCCTGCACAAGGGAATGTGAAACAAGAACAAGTATTACAAAAATGCGGGGAGGGGGGTGGGAACAGCTTCAATAAATGCATTCAGAACTTTAACCTGCTATCTTTTTTACTGATGGTACTTAGTTATTCTTTCCAAGACACCCTCGTGCTACAATTACTTTACATGGAGGAAGAGATCAGTGGAAGTCTGCAAGCTACGTGTGGACTGACACAATCAGCCCAGGCACAAACAACCTGACACACATGGCCACAATAATAGCAATGAAAAAAAGAGTAAATAACAATAACCATAATTACAACCTCACCTCCATTGCAACTTTTAAAGCCTGATCGTAGAAGCGAGTTTCAAGGAGGCCAAAGGAGTATTGTCCTTTCAAATAGCTGAGAACAAACATAAAAATCTCTCTTTACAAAATACAAGGAAACAAGAGCTACTCTAATATACATTTCATATAGGACCAAAAAAATAGGTGTACTACATAAAAAAAGCAAATACAAGTACTGGCAAAGTACTATGTAACTTTACTGTTAAACGATGGGTACCTTTGACATTTGAATCGATTTGGTGCCAATATCCGGTACCTGGGAATCGGTACCGGTACTTAGCAGTACCAATTGTCAGTACTTTGTGCGTGTTGTTGTTTTAATAATAAACTTTATTTTTTAACATATTTCTCAATATATAAAATTAACAAATATTAAGACAACATCCAACTCTTTGTATTGTAACATCAGTTTTTTAACTTATTTCTTTAAACTGAAAACTCTTGAAAACAACAAGA